AAACTAAAAGTTTAAAAATATACTACATGGACAGGGTCATTTTATTTACACGCAAAGCATTATCCACGTCATCATTTACCCAGAATGCTTTGTGTGTAAACAAAATGGCTCCATCTGTGTAAACATCTATTTTAAAAGTTTACAAAACTAAACAGCCTACAGTATTTTTACAGTCTTTATTTTACAGTTAAAATAAATGTTTATCAAATAAAGTCTAATGTCACAACTAATCATGGATCCCTTTTAAGTTCATAACATAAAATGTGTCTTAATAGTTGGCTGAAGAGAGGGAGAAATGGGAGGAGGAGAAGCAGGAGAAAGAGAAACTCTTTGGTGTCACTCATCTGTTGGAGGAACAGCTGAAGGAGAAGGAAGAGGAGGTGAAGGCTCTCCTTGAAAAGCAGGTCCTGGCTGTGAAGGAGGCGACAGAAAAGCTGAAGGCTTCTCACCGGCAGGAGATAAAGGATCTGATGGAAAAACATAAGCAGGAGGTGGGATTTACAAACCGTATACACTTTTATTGACACACTGAATGTAAAAATACTTTTAAAATTAAAAGTCCTTGCTGTATTTGTGTTTTGATGCTCTTTCTGTATAAATATGTAGGTTTCTGAGTTAAATGCCAACATAGAGGCAGAGCTACAGAAGCAGCGAGCCAGTATGGAAGAAGAACAGACGCGACAGATTAGCCTAATCAAACAGGTATCAGGAAGTTACTGTAGTATTTCTTAAGAGGAGATGTCTGTTTTTTTACTAATATTTCCTTTAACATTTTTCCTGTTTTGTCCTCAGGTCACTGAACGCGAGCATGAGAGGATGATATCAGATCTGACTGCCAAACACAACGAGGAGCTGGATCAGCTGAGAACAGAGGTGTCCCTGGAGCTGAGGGAGAGCATGGAGGCAGCCCACCAGGCTGAGCTGCAGCAGGCACAAGTATGTCTTTAWAAACTGTAGCAACCCGTTCTGACTTCTTTGTTCAGGAGATGATGAAAAATATAAACTTTTTATTCATCTGTAAAATAAAAACGTAATGTACAGCCTTTTTTTCATTGTACAGTTTGTAACACAGCAAATCCGTTTTAGGCCCAAAAGACTTTGGAGCTCGAAGCCTTGCRTCTGAGTCTGACCACAATCCACACGTCTCAGCTGGAGGTTTCTCAGGTAAACGTTCAGCAGGACCAAGAGTCCGCTYTCAGCAGGGTCCAGGACTCCATGAAGGAGACATTTGCCCAGGAGCGATCACTCCTGGAGGYCCGCCATCAGTCCGATGTGAACCAAATCAAGCAGCAGAGTCAGGAGCAGCAGGATCGACTGCTGGAGCTGCACAAACAAGAGCTGGGTGAGTGCTCCRCTCCTCGTGTTGTGAAGTGTATTTATGGTGGYTTTTTTTAGTGCACTCAACTTGTGGAGCACTCTGTAAAAGCAGAACGCTGCGGCAGAGGTAACTTTCCAACACTCGATGGATGCTTTTGTGTCTGTTCAGATGAGTTCAAGCAGCAGTGGGAGACTCGTGTGGCTCAGGAGAGAGCTTTAATGGAGGAAAAGCAGAATAAAGAGATACAGGTCCAGTTTTTCCCCTTACACGCCTTTATATTTTCACGTTTCCACACACATTAAAAAAAACTAATTGATCGTGTTATGTGCTCAGGCTCTAAGAGTTCAGTGGGAGACTGAGGCAGAGCAAGATGTCCAAAGATCTCTATCGGAGATCAGAAATCGCCTCAACGCCACCCAGACAGAGCTGAGGAGCAAACAGACCTCCCTCACAGAGATGAACAAAGCTTTAACAGATGCCAAGGCAGCTCTTTGTCAAACGCAGGCAGAACTGCAGGAGACAAAAACTAGACTGGAGGACCTCCAAACTACCAGTAAAGATGAAGTCCAGAAGCTAGAAGAGGAAGTAAAACRAGCCTGGACTGACAGAGATGCAGCTGCCTGTGAGTCGCATCGCACACGTTTCTCCTCCGTGTCTCATTGTGGATGAAATGTTTAAGAATAATCTGTCTTCTGAATTTAAAATAATAAACCCTTAAATCTACTGCATTAGTGGACAAAAATGAACACGTGGTTTGAAAATGTTAGAAATCTGGAAGACTTGCTGCCTTTATCCTTCTTACTGATCTTTTGTGTGTTTTAATTTTATAACTTTGCTGATCAGATTCTTTGGAGGAGCTGGTTTGTAGTCACAAAACGGTGCTGCAAGAGCTGGAGCAGCAAGTACTCCACCTTCAGGACAAAGAGCAGCAACTGCAGCAAGAGGCCAGTTGAACATTTTAAGATGCATCTAATTGTTTTGTCTCAAATTACATCGTTCCTGAGCCTTAAARCAGCTTTCAGTTCAGTTTTAAAAGCTTTTCCGTGCAAACGTTTTGAACTCAGCTCATGAAACATACTAATACATCATGTTGTAAATTTCTAAATGATGTTTCCACTCTTTCTATCAGGTTCTGTGCCTAAAGGAGGAGAAAAATATGCTCAAAGAAAGCAAAGAACAGGAAGTAGGTCAACTGTGGACTCARCTGGAAAGCATGAGGACGAGTCGTCAAGAGTTGGGAGGTGAGATTAGTGCATTAGCCTGGCAGCTGCTTGACTGCAGTTTTTTTTCTTGTTCATTTAAATATTCAGCAGTTTAAGAATAATACTGTGTCTAATAGAAACACATACATCCCACACTTCTTTAGCTGTTACTCTTATGAAATGTGACACTAAAAAAAACACAGTTGTTAGACAAAATGTTCATACTCCCAGTTGTGTTTTTACCCTTCTCTCCGTTTTTTGTTGTCTTCCAGAGCTCAAGGAGCAGTTGTTAGCTCGCTCATCTCAAGTTGATGACATTGAGCGCCTAAAGACGGAGTTTAATGAACAAAAGCGTGAAATCAAAGAGCAGAATGAGGCTGAGCTGGAAAACTTGAGGAGGTATAAATAGACACACAGGCTCTGACACGAGCATTGTAACATCGATTTATTTGATTTATTATTTACACGATAAGCCCATTTCTGAATTGTGGTTGACATAATTAAAATGATTTGCTGTCCTCTGGTCATTGTGTGTGCTCAGCGTTCCACAGAGTATACATATTTCTGTTATCTTCCCCAGTTATTTTGAGAAGCGGTTGCATGCATCAGAGGAGAGCTACAAAGAGGAAATTGCTCTGCTCCAGCTGAGGCTGGTGGAAAGTGCCTTGGAGGATTCTGTGCTCCAAACAGCAGACGACAAGTGTGTTCATTAGTCTTTATGTGACATTTTTATCTGGTACAATCTTGAAATGTTATCGAGTAACCATGCCTTTTCTCTGTTTCAGCATTTTGTCTCAAGTTAACGCCGAGGAGGACAAAGATGCTTCCTCTGATAGTGTCAGGCTGGAGAAACACAAGGTAAGATKTTAACACATGCTCTTGTTTGTGTGAATATGTTTTATTCATTTCTTTTATTCATTGTTCATCGTTAAGTATTATTTTTTATCTTTTATGTATTTTTTATCTTTTTGTATTTCTTATCCAGGAATTGCTTGATGCGTTGAGGCTTGAGTTGGAAGAGAATCRTACGATGGAGCTTTCCAATCTGCAATCTACTTTAAGTTGTTCTTTTAAGGAAGATCTGGAGCAGGTATGAYGCAGTCTTGTTYATACTCTGCACAAAAAGTAAGGAAGTGTGTGTTTGGTGGATTATTTCTTTGTATCATGGCTTCTTGACAAGAAATCTTGAACRTGGCACCTGAATGGCAGCAACTGTGGGTACCAGAACCTCAAAACTAGAGTCAATAGCAACAGTAAAATAAGCTGTTTGGCAATAGAGACGTAAATCACCAGCTTTTCTTTTACTGTTTTGAGCTGCTGTAATGTGCAAATTTCCCCACTGTGGGATCAATAAAGTCTTATCTTATCTTATCTTATCTTATCACAACACAATATTATGTTGGTTTGTTTGGATATGATAGTAAATGGACTGTACTTGTATAGCGCCTTTCTATCCAACCAGGAAACTCAAAGCGCTTCATACTACAATCTGTGTCATTTAAACAGCACTCTTATTATCTCTTTACAAAGCTAACATGTACAAAACAATTTATCTATAAAGAAAACTTTATTTCTATTGCAGCTTTCACAGACACAAACATCACAAAGTGCTTAACAGAGAGCAAATTGTTAAAAACAATAGAAACGGAGAACAAACCTTAACCAAAAGCCTGTGTGAATAAAAATGTCTTTAGATGTTTTTAAAAAGAGTTAGGGACAGTGGGAGATCGTTCCAGAGCCTCGGGGTCTCCACAGGTTTTGAAATGGGTTTGAGGTACCACCAGCAGAATTAGATTTGAAGATCTCAGAGTCCTGGGGGGAGAGAGAGAGAGAGAGAGAGAGAGACTTCTGAAGGTCCACTATGTGTCCATGTGCTTGACCATGAAGTGCCCTGAAGGTTAAAACTAGAATTTTAAAATACCTCCTCAAATGCACAGGGAGCTGGTGCAGGGAGGCCTGTGTAACTGTGAGCTTTTCTGGTGGTCTAAGTTAGTAATCTAATTGAAACATTAATCATTTAAAGAATATATTGATGTATTGTTACACCCCTAGATTTGGCAAATTTTTCATATGCTCAACTCACACACTCAGCTCTACTGCTCATCTCACAAATACATATTCCTTACAAATGTGGCACCATTTAAAAGTGATTTTTTTTAATATTCATTTCATTTAAACAACAAAAACAAACATTAAAAATAAACAAAAAAAAGAACAATATCATTAAATTTACAGGCTTTCCAACAGTATAGGATTTATTGCCAAGACGCATTGTTACAACAAAGAAATAATCTACCAAACACACATTTCCTTACTTTTTGTGCATTACTTTTTTTTGTTAGCTCATAGAACATTTAGTTCCGTTTACAAACTCTGTTTCATGTCTTGCTCATCAGGAGCGCTCAAACCTCACAGACCATTACTATAAAGAACTGCAGGACATGAAGACTCGCCATGCCCTGGAGCTAGAGCAACTCRGAGCAAAACTTTCTGACAGTCATCTTAAAGGTGCATTTCTAAACTAAACACTCTAGTTCTTTTTTTTTTAAACAAAAAATAACATGGATCTGTTTTTGTAGAGCTTACAAGAGTTCATCTGGACGCAGCAGGGCAGGTTGAGGTGAGAAAACTAACAGGATAATATTCTTGGAATTCAGAAGCCCTGTCCTTTACTAATTAGTTTCTTTTCCTTAATTAGGCTGAGTTAGAACAGAGGACATGGTGTCTCACTGAGGAGCTGCAGACGAGGGTCACACTCATCCACTTCCTGGAGAACAGATTGACTTCCTTGAGTAAACAGCGAGATGCTGAAGCACTGTCAAATGCTAAAAATGTATGTGTATATCTGCACAACAGATGGGTCTCCTTCAGATAAAGATTTAAATGTCATTCAKTCTCAGACATATTTATTCGTACCGTCTTGTTTGAGCTAATCCATTTGTGTTCAACTTCATTCGGGCAGCTTGAGGAAAAACTGAAAGAAGAAAGGGAGAGAATGCAGGAGAAAATGAAGAAGCTGAAAGAAGAGCTTCAACAGGAACGTGAAAATGAGATCTCCACACTAAAATCCATGTTTGAAAAAGAGAGTGCGAGCCTTCAAAAAGCTTTTGACGAAGAGAAAGCGTTGAAGTCTGAACAGTTTGATTTGGACAACCCTGAAAGTAAGATCCTTTTTTTAACAAGACCCATCCTGCTTAGATAATTCCTAAAACATCTCCTAAAAGTTTGTGTTGTTCAGGCCCACAGGTCCTGCTGATAAAACAGAGACTGGAGCTTCAGCATGAAAATGAGCTACAAAAGACAAAGAACTGCATGTCTGCTGAAATGAAAGAGCTRACTGTTTTGCTTCAGGAGCAGAGTGAAGAGAAGCTACGCCTAGCTCAACAAAGGTGAGTTCCACCAGGAATTTCTTTATAAAAACAAAAAAGTGTTCAGTAAGAGAGACACAGAGTTCACCTCAGTTCCCTTTACTAAATTTATGAGATTGTATTTTTTGTACATTTAGGTTCCAAGAAGAGAAAGCTGCATTAGAGCAGCGTTTGTTTCAGAACTACGAAACGTCTGTAGAAGAACTAAAAACCAAACACAAAGCTGAACTAGAACACGAAAGGACAGCTCTGCTAAACAAGCACTCCAAAGAAATGGATGAACTCGAAGCCAAACACAAAGCCCAGCTGGAGTCGCTCGGTGCCAGTCACAGGGATCAGCTCGCRGCCGTGGCAGTTGAGCTGGAAAGTAAGCACAACGCTGAGCTCGTTGCCTTAGAAGCATCCCTCAAATCCAAACAAAAGGAGGACCTTGAAAGTTTGGAGGCTGCTTACCAGGAGACCARTCAGGCAAAGTTAGAGGCTTTAGAAGCAGAATTAGCTCACAAACACCAGGAAGACCGGGATGAGCTGGAGAGAAGGATGCTGGGAAATATGGACACTTTAGAGACCACTTACTTGAAGGAGGTACAGGTAAGAGGTTACGTTTTGTCTGAACAGTGCGTTGAAGTCGCAGCACAGCCTTTGATTTGTCTCCGTTTATGGATGCATTATTGTAATCGCAGGCCCTGCGTGATGAAATTGTTCAGCTTGAGGAGCGACATCGTCAAGGCCTGCTTTGTCAGAGTGCAGAACACAAACGACTAACGGAGCGCCAAGCTGCAGAACAGGGGTCCGTCCGGGAAGAACTGAGGAAAGAGCTGGCTCAGGTCCATATGGAAAAGTTCAGAGCCATGGCAGCTGAGCTCAGCCACGTTCACAAGGTGAAGACCCCYGATTTCATCAACAAAAGATTCAGTGAATAAATATAAAAAAATAAATAAATCACTGACATTTACTAGAACATCTTAACATGATTTGTTTTTGTTTGTTTGTTTTTTCCAGGCTGAACTGGCTGCTCAAAAAGAGGCCTTAGATTCTGAACACTGCAAAGCCTTAGAAAGTCTTAAGAAGCAGGTACCTGTCTGTCAATAAACCATTAAATCTTTTGATTTTCATCATGCTGCAAATCCCAAGAATCAAAATGCCCTGTCAGAAATACGTTTGTTTTTCATGTCATTAGAACGAGTGCAGGACATCAGAGTCCCTCCCTCATTTATTAATCTGTCACTGCACTGATGATTTATTCTACAACCTTTTCTCACAAGCAGYAGTTCCAACCAGCTCGCTTTTCTGCTCAGAATCTTAGCATCTGCTTTCATAATATGCTCAAATACATCTGATTTATTGTATATGTTATATTGTGTATGTTTTGTCAGGTTTTGGAACTTGAACAGCAACACAGCRCTGCTCTACAGGAGCTCTCTCAGACCTACTCTTGTGAAAAAGAGCAGCTGATTGAACAGCATCAACTCCACSTTCAGGTGTGTGTTAGAAAATGATGAGTGTGTGAAACAGTGTTTAAAGACAAAATGAGCTGAGATGAAAATGGTCTTTAATGGGTACCAGCAGAGTTATAGTGTCGTGGCTTTTACAGCTGATTAGAGAGGGAATTACAGTGTCATTGTTTATCATCTGTGAATATTTTTTTATTTAAATGCACTGAGATTGTAGCCATTTGGTGAGGCATGTATTGTAKCAGTGAAGGAAGCGTGTGTTTCTGCTGTAGGAACTAAAGGGAGCTTCTGCCCGTGAGTTGGAGGCTTGTCATCGGGAGCTTGAAGAAGAGTCGTCAAGGCAACAGCTGTGCTTCCTGAAAGAGGCGGAGCTCCTTAAAGTCCAATCAGAGGAGCAGCTACAGGACAGGATTAATCTGCTGAAGGTAAAAAAAATAGTTATGTGTGGGGGGAAAAAAGAGGGGAAAATATGATTTAACTGAGAAGTTCTATATACATTTTTAAATCATGGCATCTTTGATGTATCAGTTGTTTTGTGTAAATAAATGCAGAAAACACTGAGTTCACTGAATTCATTTAAATTTTGTGAATGTTTTAGATGCTTAATCTTGTTGGAAACATTATATAATAGTGGATTATTTCAAGCTGTAGTTTGTAACATAAGCGATGCCCTCCTTAAGCTCCAGCTGCACCAGTTCAGTCCTAGTTCCCTCGTTTGGACAGTGTCCCATTTGAGCTTTATTCAAACCCAGTTTTCTCATAATCCCACCGTCATGTATGTTCAAGTATTGAYGTCCGTCTGTCTCTGTTTTCAATCTGTGCACTTCTGGGACGCGCATGTGTTTCTTTTGCTGCCCCCGAACAATGGCTAAATGGAAAGGATCTAAGCTTTTTATCCTCGGATGTAGAAGGTTTTAAGGCAGGAGTGTTTTTTAAATAGACATTTGATGTTTGACCGCCTGAAAGCCAATGGCTGGCTGCAGCAGAACTAAGGGATGAATTGACTTTGTGTTCTTCAGCTGTTCTTTTCTGCGTCTTTTAATTAACGCAACACCCTCACCTCTCTCTTTGAAGACGGAGTTTGATGTGGAGAAGGAGGCGGAGCTTGAAGACTTGAGGCGGAGCTTCACCRCTGAACAGCAGGAAAAGGAACGGAGCTACACAGACAAAATGAGCCAGCTCACTGCCCAGCTGCAGCAGCTGGACGCTGTGGTCACCCAGGTATTAAATACAGAGAATGTTCCACAGTTCTTGCAGGGTTTTGTATTGAACAGTCCAGATTAAAGATCCAAACAGAACGTTGCACATTGTTAAAACTGAGAGGTTAAAGAGTAGACTGACCCGAAAATAATATTATAAAATCAGAGATTTTAAAGAAAAAATCAGAAGGTTTAATGAGCAGGTAAAAGTATCTATAAACTGAAAAACAACAATGATGAAACAGTGTTTCTGTAAAAGCGGTGCATCAATAAGCTGAGAGTTTATTTTACTCTTGTATCAAATTGTGGTCCGTTATGATTATTTCTCATTATTCTAGACTTTGAGACAATCAGCTGTRTAAAGTTAGGTTTTTGTGTAGCTAAGATGCCTGTTCTTCTGTTAATCGCTCATTTTTTTTATTCTGAATGGTTCATCATGTCAGAAAATCATTACAATCTGTTAATCTGCAAACCATTCTTCACTTGAACAATCTATAAAATAAATATTGTAAATGTTTGGGATGTATTTATTTCCGTGGCAGCTGTCCGGCTCAAGTCTTTGTAGTGGGATATATTACGATGCACTCCAGTCTCGGCTGGCTCAGAGGGCTTTAAGAGGATGGGAGGGGGCTGTTGTCATGGTGGCAGCATTGTTTTGTCGAGGCAGGTGGGTGCTCAGGATGAGTTTGAGGAATGAGGGGAAAACACAGGGTGAGACCAGATGGAGAGGATGGAGGAGGGGGAAGGAAAGGTAAGAGAAATCACCACAGATCACTGTTTTGTTTTTGTTTTTAGTGCTCAGACACTAAAACTTGATTCAAATCATTACTCCTCTAATCATTTACACATCTCACTGCAAAACAAAAAACCCTGATGATTACAGTTGGAGTGTGTTTGCTTTTGGTTAATTTTTAACCATGCTGTGTTTTAAATGTGTTTTCTATAACAGCACTTCCCAAGAAGGAACAGCGTATTTAATCTTTCTTATTTCTGTTTTCTCCCTCTAGCTGCGAGCAGAGGTCGGGTGTCTGCAGGAGGAGCTGCAAGGAAAACATGTAGAGATGGAGACCATGGACACCCTCCTTCAACGAAGGGAGCGAGAGAGTCAAGAGGGAGGCAACCTTCTGAAGATGCTCACTGATGACTTACAGGCTGCTAAAGAGGAGAGGTAAGTCCACGTCTGTGCGCTATTTCATGCACATAGCTAATAAAGTAATCAGTGGGTAAGTTTTAAAATGTTTAAAATTTTAATTATGGCAATTTTTACATGCTTTTTGGATTTTAAAACTAAATATAATAAAATAATTTAAACTTCATGTAAAAGAACTGGCTAAAAATGGTTTTAATCTTTGTCTTCACTTGTTACCCCAGACACAGACTTCATGATGCAAATGAGAAGCTGAGTAAAGTTCTGATCGAGATGCTCCGCTGCGTAACGGCAACAGAAGAACTGATTGGACAAAAGATCAACATCCGAACAACCAAAACGGAGCTTGTGACTCAACGGATGAGCTCAGCAGGGAACAAAGATGCACAGGAATCTGGTTTGTTAATTTTAATTTCTGCACTCCACAGTTTAACAGGTTCTGATTCACTCTTTTTTTATTAAGATGAAGCGTTATAATTAAAATTAATAGCTTGATTTCATTTGAGGCACAAAGGTCTTTGGGGATTTGTATATATAATTAAAAACTAACTTTTCCCCCCACATGTATTTCAGTCGCAGACATGACATCAGAGGACTCGGAGCTGACCCAGCTGCTCTGTGAGAGTCTTCTAGTTTCAGATTCTCAGCTCAATCCTGGAGGAGAAGAATCTGCTCTGAATGCTTGCAACAGGCTACGGCACACAGTCGACATACTGCTGGATCTGCTAAACCAAGCAAATACACAGGTTAATCTTTGATTTACTGATGATCCAAACAAAAAKGTCCCAARCTTTGTTTTTTCTTTTTCCAACGTTTAATCTTCTGAATGATTGTGGATTTGTCACGTCAGCTGGAGCAGACGCGCAGCGTTCATCTGTCTTTGGAAGAGAAGTTCTCACAAAGCAAAGAAGACACCACCCAGCTCGTTGAGCAACACAAACTACTGATGAAGCAGTTTGATCAGGAGGCAAAGCTGAAGACTCAGYTCCAGGTGGAGCTCCACAAGGCAGAAGGTGATCATTATACTCCCTATAAAGGGATCCATGAATAGTTGTAACATTACACTTTATTTTACAGTTAAAATATATGTTTATTAAATAAAGACTGTAAAAATACTGTAGGCTGTTCAGT